ACTGTGTTTCCTGTTAATATCAAACAACACGTAATAGAATTAATCCTAATATTGTCAGTTGAACTAGGTCTAAGCAATGTGAGCATACTTCTCATTATTTTGAACGAATACTCCTTATTCCAGCTGGGATAGAATTAACCAGTACTCATGAATAATAATGAACTCGACGCGTGATTATACATGAAAATTAATAAGAAACAACAAGAAGAGTTAAGAAGGGTACGCAACAAAGATAATATTCCCATGGGAGAATTCTTTTAAGAATTTATACAGGATTCCTGAGTTAATACCGGGCGGTGTGGCATAATAAGCTGTTATATATCCTTATTGCGTCTGGTTTTTAGAGTAGGCGTCTTCACATATAATATAGTTGTGTAGCATTTAATCTATAAAACGAGCTCTAAACCTATAATTCCTGTGCTAAAGCTTATTACAGATGTCTTGCGGTATAAATAGGATGGAAAAAATGTAAAAGAATTAAGGAACAACAGGAGAAGAATATTAACATAAGCGAAGTACCCGTTAGAAGCACTATTTAGTAATCAAAGAAGTGGGTAACAGTAGGATATTGGAATAAAGATTAGGAAGAGTATACGAATGGGTATATTGATACTCTAATATTTCAGAATGAAGAATTATTGATGAACCAAAGTACTCACTATTAATAATAACTTCACAGAGTATATCCTATTATCTCCCTTTATCCTAAATACAAAACAACAAAATAGTAGAATAAGATGTACTATAATCTATTGATAAAAGTAGTAAGCAATAGCCGATTACTATAAATCTACCAGAGGAATGATAACTGCCTTCCTAGTAATCGCATTATTCATAAGAGTAACTCGCAAGCAATAATAGAACTACTAGATACGATAGAAGTTGCCCTTAATAGATAAGTCTTAATTCTAAAAGTGAGACAATCTACAAGTCTATAAGAGACTTGTGTAATAGATGGAAAGTACAATAAGCAAGATGCCCGCGGCGAAAATATGTGCTAAGCCTCACGGGGGGGGACAAAACTAAATTGACACCCCAAGGACAAAAATAATAAGGGAACCTACAGGCCCAAAAAATATGTATAAAGAAATCGAGAGGAAGGAGTTATTTATGAACACAAACAAGTGCTTTATAAAAGGGAAAACAGCACCCAATAAAAACAGCAGGAAAACACGTCTAACTAGTCACCAACAAGGAGAAGGAACTGCAACTGGAATACCTGAATATAAAGGTAAGATAGGGGAGGACATGCATTTTAGAATACAGCAGAAGGCGGAGAAAGCCTCAGCATCAGAAACAGGGAAAGGGTACGATTATATGGGAAACCGCAGCATCAGGACTCCAAGAACAACAAGAAGGGGAAACAGCCGAGACTATGAACAGACCGCAAGAGATTCGGCAAATACACCCAGGGAAAGACTACAGAACCAACAGGACAGCCCAGGAATAAGGGTAATTGGGGGGTTAGTGTGTTAATAACTGTTGAAAAGGAACGGGGCGCAAGGGGGAAGAGTAGTATTAGCACTGGAGGATGATATCACATAATAGTGGAGAGTAAAAAAGATGTCAAAGTAGTATAACAGGCAGATCAAGTACATACACACGGGCCAGAAGAGGAAACCACCAAAAGAACAAATAAAAGAGGCAGAAATGAAGAGAGGGAGGGAGATGGACCCCCGCCCAGCAGCACCACAATAACACCAGCAACAGGAGGTGATGAAACCGACTAAACAGGGACATATATAGGGAATAGGACAAAGGGCCTTCAGTAACATAGCGAAGTAGTTTACGAACACCAACTGGCAAAAACAACAGGAGGGTTGCCACAGGGCCCAAACTTCCGCAGAGATTTACAGCAGGAGGCAAGGCAATAATAAGAAACCCAACGGACGCAACTTAAGGGGGCGAAGTAATATTTATGAAGCAACAGCATCTCACTAATTAGGACAAAAGAGAACATGGTTCCAACAAGAAGAAAGTGCTACGAAGGACTGGGAAAAGGAGGAAAACTCACCCCAGGACAACAAAGAAGGAAAGCAAGGGCCAAGTCAGACTGTGCAAAGAAGGACAAATTTCAGGTAGTATTATGAGAGAAGACTGAAAGATTCTAGGTGTCCAGAAAACCAGCAGACAACAGAGCAACATGGGTTTAAGGGAAGGGGGAAGGAAGTTAAAGTCGCCGAGAATCCAGTCCCCTAGGAATTATCACTACAACTCAAGGAACAAAAACCCCACAAACTAACAAGGACGCAAAGCGAAGCTCCCAAATCCAAGTAGCATATAAATTCCCAAAAGCAGATGTGACCCCCAACTTACCAGAAAGTACAGACACATGGACGATGAGAACCTCAAAAATCCCAATCCGACAGCATAAGAATGTCCTGAGAAACCCACAAGGAGAAAGGAACAGGCCCCGTGGACAAATAAGACTATAGATCCCCCCAAAGAGATCCCAACCAACTAATAACACCACATCCACAACACAAGTATTACCCGACGCCAGAAACGAGCTAATACATCAGAAACAGATGATATAAACCTCAGCCAGAGGCAGTACACGAAATAAGAGATCAGATGAACAACAAAACGACGAATAGGGGAAGGAGACAACCCAACATAACAGCAAGCCGTAGTAGAAAGTTATACAGGATGAACTGGGGGAGGTATGCAAGGAAAACAGAAGGAAGGTGAAAAAAGGGCCAGAGAGTTCACCCAACGGGGCAAAGAAGGAATCCAGAGGCCACCGCCATTAGGACGAAAAAAGAAGGGCAATAGCTCAGAACTGTGGAGAGCAAAGTCAAATAACCAAACAAAATCAGGAGCGGGGGAGTTGTTAACGTCATAAGAGGCACTTGACCCCCAGAAATCTGAGTACAAGTGAGAGGCACCCCCTACAGTACAAGCTACCAAGAAAACTCGGGGGGCCAACCAAACACGAACAAAGGAAAGCCGCACACCGGATAAATTCGAGGCAGAGCACCGTCCTACCAGGCGAAGCAGGGCTCGCAAGAAAAAAGAGGAAGCCTATGAGGACGAAGAACACCAGAACGGGCAAAGATTAGATCCAGTGAAACCAAAAAGTGTATACCGTAGCCGAGAAATAAATTAAGCGAAAAGGAGAATAGTCTGGGAACGTACAAAAATCAGAGATTTCCATCAATACAAGAGGGGAGATAAATATGAAGAAACTGACACAAGTAAAGAATCTCCATGAGTCACCCCAGGGCACTACAAAAGAGGGAATTACCAATAGAAGAAGATAAACTACCGGGACAACTAAAGGAGGAGGCGACTCCGACTAATCTGTGAGATAGAAGGGCGGGGGGTCCTCGCGCAATAGGACCCTGGAAACAAAAGACGGAAAAGGAGGAGAATCCAACTCGCAGGAAAAGGAAAAACAGAAAGCCGCTACCTTCAGAAAGGAACCAAAAATGGCAAATCCAGCATCAGGAGAGGCAAAGAGGAGAAAGTATCAGAGGGACCACAGTCACAAAAATCGCAAATCTATTAACTGTACCAAATAAGAAACAAATACCAAACTGACCCCGCAAAGATCGGGAGACTAGGACAAATCAACTCCAGGAAGAAGTACAGTATCCTAAAGAAGTAGAAGAAGCACCCATAGCGAACAGGAAGCCTGGGCCCCCTAAGCTGCCCACGAATAAGGAAAACAGACAGCGGGGTAGATCAATCCTGCGGACCTATAATAAATGGCCTGAGTGTTATTAACCAACGCGTGTTCATTTCTTCAGTGAAAAATATAAATTCCACAGCCCATAGACGAAAACCCCGTTACAATATAAGGGACCAGCTTGAACGATTCAACATCCCTCGGAATACAAGTATTTTCTCAAGGAAAGATGAGAGGAATAATCCAGAAGGGTCCCTCCCAGTTGATTGGCAGGCCAGGAAACCAGAGGAAAGGAGAAGTATTGGAAATATCCGAGGGGGAGTAGAAAGAAGAATAGACCTATCTTGAGTAAGCAGGAGCAAGTTGCTAGAGGAGTAAGAAACAAAGGAGCAAAAACAGGGAACCGTAATAAAAACTTAGTCAACCGTCCAGAACAAAAGGAAACTCACTGCCCAGGCGGGAGCAGATGCAGAGGAGGGCTTAAAAACCATAAGATACAAGACAAGAATGAATTCCGCCAATTGCGGATAGCAGCGAAGGCCATCGAAATAGGAACAGTAAGAAGAAGTTTTGACAAAATACAAAATAAGAATTGAGAAGATTACCGCCGGAACCACTGGGACTAATGAAACACATCGGGAAGCTTCACAGGCTCAATAGTGGAAGGAAGAAGTGGACAGAGTAGAGCGGCGAAGGATTCTCGGGAAGAAAGAAGACAAGGCGGATCAGCCCCCAACGAGTGGATGCAACAAGTAATAATAACCCACAGCAGGGCGGCTTCAGAAACCTACGGCAGTTACCCTAGCACTCCCTAACAAATCTAAGATACCTGTATGAATACAAATCTGAAATAGTTAAAACATGGATACCAGCACCTACACGATGTAGGGCCACCCCCAAAAGTAAAAGAGCGAGGAAAGTGAACAACCCGCGGACAGAATCTGTCTGTGGTAGTCAGCGGGGAAGAATACAGGAAACCGACCGAGATCAACACCAAAGGAAAAAAAGGACTAAGGAAAAGCAAAAGGAGCTCCAACAGAGCTAATGGCAACCAGCCCAAACCGAAAGGGGAAGTATTCCCCCCCCCCGTTATATGCAATGAAGCTTACGAAGATGAACAACTCTCAACCTAACTTCCGAGAGTAATAACTTCTCAAGAAATTATCAAAATAAGGTCATGCAATCCGGAGGAAGAATGAGGAAGTATAAAGCCAGCATGATAATGGAGTAAATTATGCCAGGAGACCCTCCATAGTTCCCACCGATACTGGGGCGCTGAGAAAGGGCGTGACAGGGCCGCCACCTCAGCCAGGTAACTGAAGGAGATCAATAGATGTCAAATAAAGGAGCAACTAAGAGTCCGAGCAAAGATAAAAGCATATCATGGGAAGAAACAGTCTTTAAGGAATTAGATAACAGGAGCACGAGCGAGGATTAAGCCAAAAAGCCAGAGCTGACTCCCCTAAGGGATGATCTCAAGTAAGGATGATGCAGGAGGAGCAATTGAATGGATATCTCTCAAAAGAGAACAATACAATATAACTTCTCTGCAGTAAATGAAGTCAAACAGAAGAAGAAACCTAGGGTAAGAAAACTTGACCCAGCCAACCCAACTGACTGCTGCCGGACCAATTCTCTAGGGGGCAGGGTGGCCACAGAGGAAAATATGAGGCATCCCAGTAAATAAACGACGCAAAGCAACTGAGAAGGGAAAGTAGACAACAGGAATATCAGGAAGAGTAGGAGGAGTTCAAGATGACCAACACCCCCCAACTGAGGCAACTAACGGCAAAACTAATCGTCCAAAGAGGGGACGTCTTCCAAGAGACCAAAGGACACCACGTGAATAAGGAGCAGAAAATATCTCTAGAGAGGGGTCTTTGCATTATTGGAGGAGTATCATGAGATCGTGGAATTAACTAGCCCCCGAGGAGATAAATTGAGAAGATCGTCAAGGAAGTCACCGCGCTCGTATGTCAAGCCATATCCGGAGTCACGCCGATCTTAGGAACACCCCCCCAAAGCAGTAGTAATTAAGAGGAACAGTAAGGGTAAGTTGAATTTCAGTGCATAACCTCCTTGCAGGACGGGGAGAAGAAAATTGATCTCAATAGATAAAAAAGAACAAGAGAAAGTTGACCCAACGAAGATGAAGTATAGCCTGGCAGGCGGAGGATACAGTTAAAAGATATATTCGGAAGAAGAGAATGGCACGCAGGTTTCATAGAGAAACCATAAGCAGAAATATCAGGGCTACAGACGCTGCTAATGGAAGCAGGTGCCCTATGGATAAGAGTAAAATGTGATTAAAAGAGGACTCACTTAAACAGGAGGTCCCCTAAGATAAAGTTGATTAAATTGCCGCCTCCGAGAAAAAATATCCAAAGGGACCACAAGACTCTAGATAGGAGGTAAGCCTTCTGACCACTAATACAGAAGCAGTCTTTTCAACAGGAAGCCGTTTAGCGGGTTCCTGAAGAAATTGAGGGCGGGGAAGGGGAAGCAATAATGGCCGGATAATATAAGTATGTATAAGATAAGGAAGATACATACGAGAAGAGAACACCCGAGGCGCCGAGACCGAGGGAAGTTGAGGTATAGGGAGTATTAGGTTGGAAAATGTCGGTTAGGAAATACAGAAGGGCATAAGAGCGGCAAAGGTATCTACAATTGATTAGAAATTAGGGGAAATTTTTTTTCTGGTATAAGATTCTGGGCACTACCCCTTCTCCAAATAAAATCCTCATCGCGGAGACTTCATTCTAGGACAGCAACAGGTAATTGAACAGTACTATGTAAAGAGAAATCGTAGAGGCAAAAGGAAAAACAAGAAACTGGAAACAGGACAAGAGGCTAAAACAGGCGGCTTATATCAAAAGGAAAGGATATACAGAGGGCAATTATCTGTTACGGGGACTCTATATGGATATCAGAAGTTTCTGACTCCCTGTGCAATACTGGTGGAAATGAATAGCATAGGGTGGAATGGGCGTATCAAAATAGGAATAATTCCTGTTGTCATTCCTCATCCTTTATACCGGCCACGTAGGAACAAACCCAAGAAGACAGGATATTAAGAAGTCTGGGAGAAGGAGGCGTCTGTGTCGTAAGAAAAACAGCACTTCCTAGTGTAGATCCCAAGCCTTGCGAGTCACATACTAAACATGCACAACTAATTAAACAATACCAGGAGAAACAGAAACGCGAGGGGGACTACGGCACCCGTATCATGGACTAATGGGCCAATAACGGAACCCGCGGAGAAATCTTAATTCAGAGTAGGAAAAAACGTAGGGAGAAGGAAACCGTGCCAATGACCACCCGATACGGCCCCACCCTCGAGCATGCAGTGCGATTCTATTCGAGTCTCAAAAGAAAGGTGAATGGACACTGAAGTCTGACACCAAACGGCGGGACCCAGGTCAAGATACCGAGACAGTACAATCTTGACGAGTATCGCAGCTGCTGTT